ACTCCCAGCACTCTGTCAACTTCACAGGCTAGCTGCCCAAAGAAGGACACAGCATAGAATCAGAATCAGCAAGACCTGGCAACTGATTGGATATGGCTGGTGAGGGAGAGGGAAGATTAAAAATTGGCTTAAAGGTTTTATGTCTGAGTGACGGGATCATGCCATCAATCAAAAAATAGGGATATTAAAAGAAACGGCTAGTTTGGAAGAGAACATGATGAGTTCAGTTTGGGGATATATTAAGATTGAGGTCAAGGCAGGACTTTGAGGTAGCTATATTCAGTAGTAATTGAAATGCAGGACTGGACCTCCAAGGAGAGGTCAGGAATGAAGAGATAGATTTGGGAGGCACCCAAGTGGAAGTAATCATTGAAGCAAAAGGGTGGAGAAAGTTGTCAAGGGAGAGAAAGTAGAGAGAAAAGGACCAAATGGCAAAGCCAGAAATCATCAAATCATAAATATTGGCTCCGAAAAGGGCCATAGAAAAGATCTATTCTAACCCATTTATTTTAAAGATAAGGAAAATGAAGCCTAAAAAGGGAGAGTGACTTGACCAAAGTCTCACAGAAAGTAAGTGGGAGAGGCACCCGAACCCAGGTTTTCTGTTTTTAATGCAAAATGTTAGAATTTAAACTCTATTTAGGACAAGGATTTTGTATCTCCATTGCACCTGACAAATAAGAGGCGTTTAAAGAAAGTTTTAGTCACTGTTTTAAGTCCATTGTTTTCTCTCTTCTGCTATACTTGTCCCAAAGTTCACCTACAAGAACCTCCTTATCATTTTTTTTTTGCTTTGAAAATGTCTTCCATGGGGACTATGTACCTCTGCTAACAATGAGACATTTCAGAATACCCTTTTTTTCAGGGGTGTCTTTAAAGTCCAGCAAACAAGAGAAACAATTCTATTACTAAACAGAGGTACTTCATTTTAGATTAAAAAATAACTTACAAGATTTGGTACCAAATAACTTTTGAATGTTTCAAGCAATGCAATCTACCAGCAAAGGAACAGGATTTATTTTGAAAGTAATTTTACATGAAGTGTTCAAGAAATGTTTAAACACTGGCCACAGGGAGGTGGGAGAAGAGAAGCATTAGATTTATAGTTAGAAGGCTTGGGTTTGAGTTCTGGCTCTGTCATTTGATAACTGAATGTTCTGGAACAAGTTATGTAATATTTTTGAACCTCAGATTCCTCATCTGTAATAACAACAATAACAGTACTTTTATAATGTCTTAAATACATTACCTCATTTAATACTCACAGCAACTTGATGAGGTATATACTACTTTCTATGAAAGAGGGGTAACTACCATCACTACTTCTACAATTACTACTACTATTACTACAACTGTCTACTGCTGCTACTGCTATTATATATCTGACACATAATAGCTGGCTATCATTGGCCATTTTTGTTTTTGAAATGACTATAAATTAATTAATATGTTATACACACCATTCTGACTGATATGGATTTTTAAATATCATGAATTAAATATCAGGACTAGTAGTAGAAGTAGTAGAAGTAGTAGTAGTAATACTAGTAGTAGTAGTAGTAGTAGTAGTAGTAGTAGTTTCTAACATTTATATAGTGGTTTAAGACTTGCAGAATACAAATTTCTCATTTTATCCTCACAACAACCCTGGGAGGTAGGTAGTATTATTATCCTCATGTTACAGATGAGGAAATAAAGGCATATAGAGGTCAAGTGACATGCTTAATGTCACAAAACTAGTAAGTGTCCAAGTCCAGGTTTGAACTCAGGTTTTCCTAACTCCAAGTCCAATTACATTGTACTACCCTACTGCCCACAGTCTCTTCCTCCTCCTTGTATTAGTACTATTAATATCATTACTACCTCACATGTAGATAGGGCATTAAGGTTTGTGAAATATTTCATATACAGTATCTCATTTGATTTTCACAGCAACCTTTCAGTGCAAGTGCTATAACTATCATCTTCCCATTTTTGTAGATGAAACAATTGAAGCCAATAAAGGTTAAGTGATTTGCACAAGGTTCTATAGCTAGTGTCAGAGGTAAGATTTGCATCCAAATCTTCCTGTCTCCAAGTGAACCATTCTATCCTTTCACTATGCCATATAGATTACCCTATTTCCATTAACTTCCTCACAGGATTGCTGTAAGGATGGAATGTGATTAAAACATATTCTTTTATGTAGACTTAAGAGGAAGTATAGCATGTAAAAATCCTTTGCTACCTATAAAATGCCATACAAATGTTGACTATTATTATTATCTTGAGCTACTATTGGAATGATACCTTCCAAGATAAGACAGCATTCGCTCATTTAGATATACTGTCTATGCTATACTCAGATCTCATATGCCCATGTGCATAAGTATAACAACATATATTTAATATATTCTCTTACACATGTTATATGAGCAGAGGTACTATGGCATATAGTGTCTGAAAACCAGGATGATCTGTGTGGATACACTGCCTTTGGTACATAATGGTTGGGTATTTTGGCTTGTTGAAATGACCAAAAAACAATCAATATGTTATGCTCAACATCCCAACCTGTAGGGTTTTAAAATATCATGACTTATATTTGAAAATTTTAATTTTATTCACAAAGACAAAGTTTAAGACAATGGAGGCTTAGTAAATGGCTACCTTGGACAAGCCTCTTAACCTATTAGGCAACTCTCTGTGACTAGATAAGTTGAAGATAAAGTGTTGACTGGAAGAGGGAATTTCTGAATCCAGGAGTTTCTTATACTGATGAAATCACAAGATCAGTCCTTATGCTCAAAAAAAAATTGAAAACATCTACCCATCAATTACACCAATGACCATTATAGCAAGGCTGCAATTTTCACTTTTTTTTTAAATTAAAATTTATTTTGAGCAATGTTCTTGCTTGTCTTAACAGTTCCTCATATTTTCATGTCATAAGATCATTGAATTTAGAGTTGAAAGAGACCTTACAGATCATCTAGTTCAATCTCCTCATTTTACAGTGCCCTCATCTGTAAAATGAGGGGGTTTGGATTAGATGGCCTTCAAATTTCCTTTGAGCTCAGAAGCCTATGATCCAGTGCCACTTTGGGACCATCACTGTCAGCTGAAAATCTAAGCTAAAATGGTAATCAGGGCTTCCAGTTTCACATAGGGCAACAAAGCCTCTCTCATAAGCACGTATCTGAATGGAGATTATCTACACAGTATCTATGTCTGCAGAAACGGATGAAGTTAGTTACCAATACCCTATCATTAAAAGGTTTCAGGTCATGGACTAATTACTTACTACATGGTAGCCCTAAGTCACTTTGTCTTCAGTTAACCACCCTAAAAAATAATAAATCATGAGAATGGAAGGGAACTACTGATGGTATGCAGCTTGCAGTGACCATAAGCCAATCAATATGTGTTGCACAACCTTCCAACTCACATGAGTTTTTAAAATATTAGGACTTAGATTTGCAATGTGTGGTTTTATTCACAGAGGCAAAGTACAAAACATCTAAGGCTTAGCAAATGCCGACTTAGAAAGACTTAGAAAGTTTTTATTTTGTGCTAGGTTTCTACCTGGGTTAGGTCCTGAGGCTAATGTTATGGTAAATGTGGCTTGATTTCTCCTTGTCATTTTAACTTCATTTTTAGAACTCCTAAGAGCAGTTGGATAGTATCACTATAATGACCAGATAGAAGAAAAGGACAGAGGGAACAGGATGGAAACCTAAGCTTTTATGGTTGGACTCTAGGGCTGACCTCCACATTTTTAAAATGACCATCTCTAATCATTCCTTCCCTGCTCCCCAGAGCTTCCCAGCATTCTGTCTGGGCTCTGGTTCAGAGTGAAGTGAGAACGCTACCACCCAGGGGAATTAAGATGGTAAACTGCTCACTTTCCCTGTTACCTGAAATAACAGGTGCTCAAAAGACACTTTAGTAGCTACAGTTGAAATTGGAGCTTCCTGAACCAAAGACAGCCACCTCTAAATGCCAGCAAGCAATGATCTAATCAAAATTCTTGATTTTCTCCAAAGACCATGTCTCTACCTCAATTTTTTCTAGGCAAATCTGATTATTTTCCTTCTTTCAGAGGTTGGCTGCATTCCCCAGTTGATCTTTTCTCTTAACTGCTTTCCTTTTTCCTGCTATTTAAAACTGAACTTTTATTGTTCCAAATTAAATCCATTCTTTCTAGCCCTGTCATTGCTAACTAATGAGAACAATTCCTCTCTTCACTCTTGATAACTGCACTTAGGTACTTGTAGATGAGAATCATATCCTTTCTTAGCCTACATTTTTTTCCAGACTGCACATGCTATAAAATGGGTTAATTGTTGCTATAAAAATACTTTCTATCATCATAGCATGGCAATTTTCCACCCCAAATCATTTAAATTTCCTAGAATTGCACTAGTCCACATGGTATCAAATAGCTAAGTGTAAATGCTCATTTGGCTTATAGACACAAGGCCTAGATTGAACAAACTTGGTGTTTTCCTTCCCTTTTGGTTATCATGCTTCACCACACCTTTCATTCTCAAAAAAAAAAAAATCTCCAAAAAGACAACAGCCTGAAAGATCTTTAATATTCAGATCTGCTATTCTATTTGCACCTGGGACTATTAAGAAACCCATCAGTGATTTTCCTTTATCCATACAGCACACGAACTAGATTGCTAGTGGGTGATCAGAGGCTGAGCTATCATCAAACATGAAAAGGAACACAGTGGATCAATCCCTTTGACACTTGCACTAGCAGAGTAAGAGCACCAACCTCCCCCTCTCAACAGCTCCCCTAGTACCAACGCCAAACCCTATGACTTCTACAGATGAGAGTTAGACTGAATACACCTACATGACCAGTATGATGTCAGCATTGCATCAAAGGTTACTTTTTATAAGCACACACTCGCTGCACATGTCTGGAATAGTTCATTGTTTCTGTCTACACTACAGCAACAGAAAAACTTTAAGGGACAAGTATATCCAGGTTGAGGTCCATTACTCACTATGTGAAGCTGGAGGAAATCGCCAAGCCCTGGAGCACTGTCAATTCGAACCAGGATGCCATCCTTCACTGTCGTGCTGAAGCCCACAGCAAGGCGATCTGAGCGTGTGCTGGGTCTGTCATTCGCAGGCCAGGTGTAGAGTATGAGTCCTCCACTTTTCCCAAAGATGTATGTAGCACCGGCTGCAAAAGACAAGCAGAAAGGGAAATGTCAGCCTAATTCCTTTAGTTTCACCAGCTGCAGCAATGCTGCTGAGACTTGCCTCCAAACAGCTGTAGAGGAGAACGTCCCTCACACAACAGTGTTTTGTTACTGGGAATGATAGTGTCCAGGGCCTAGGAGGCTGCTGTCACCCTACATTAAAGATGTTGGCAAAATGAATTAATAACAAAGCAGATGTTAAAAAGACACGTTCTTAACATTTCCCATCGCTTCGGGGAAACGGGACAGGACAGACAATGCCTCCTGTTTGAGATCTTTATGCATTGTGACAAAAACCTTTCTCTAGCCCTCCCTTCCTCAATGTTGGAATTAATCTCACATTTCATCTTGTATATGTACAACATGGAAGACTAGCCCTTGATCCCTCTTAGCTATAAGTATATTCTGTTCAGTGAAGCAGTAGTCACCAGTTCCATTTCCAGAAGTGTACTATGTAAGTTAAGAGCATACAGAAGCCCAAAGACATCTTCTTTTTTTATACATATATATCCTCTGCTAAACACTTAGAGCACCCTCTAGAAAATAAAAATGTTGATAAGAAACATACACATTGTGACAAATACTATTTCCATGCTTTGTAGTTCTAGCCCACTAGGTAGGTATTTAGAAGCATTAGAACCTTTAAATAAAAAAGAATTATGTTCTTCTAAGTGTGATGATCATGAGGCACTCAAATGACCTTTTAATTTTCTCTGGCCTTTAAAACAATTAAAAAAAATCAATGACAACAAAAACAAATTTTTTTCTCAACCACATGCCAAAGAAAAGGAATTAGGCTGTATCTAACTGAATGAAAGTCCCAATACTATGAAATCTAAACCAAGAAATTATATTTTAAAACAATAATGGGTCAATGGGTTGTTATTAATATTATTCTAACTTACACCCAATTATTACTTAAAAATATAAAAAAGAGAAAGGAATTCAGAAAAAAAAACCTCCATCTTTCAAATTATACATTTATTATGCATTGTGGCATTGTGGATGTAACAACATTAGAATCATTCAGACCTAGGTTCGAGTTTTGCCTCTAACACATTCTAGCCTTTGACCATGGGCAAGTCATTTAAACTTCTCAATGCCTCAGTCAACTATATAAAATGCAAAGCTGCCAGAAAGTTGAAAAGTACAGGAAATTCCCACAACCAATAGTTACTTCCAAAGATAAAATCATAGGTTTCTTTCTTCTTGCTACCCCCTCACTCCCTTTGAAAACAGTGGCATAGATGGAAAACAATAATCTGAACTTGGAAGTAGCAAACTTGTTTCTTCATCATCATCATCATCATCATCATCATCACATCTGAAGTTGTAAGTGGAATACACAAAGGATCATAGATTTAGAGCTGGAAGACACCTGCAGAGCCATCTAATCCAATTCCTTCATTTCACAGATGGGGATACTAAGGTCCAGAGACATGACTTAGGGTACAGCTAGAAAGTGTTAGAGATGATTTGAACCAGGTCATATGACTCCAAATTCATGCTCTTTTCACCACACCATGCTGCTTCCCATCACAGGCATTTCCCTCTAATATTTGCTTCCAAAAATGCAAACTCATTTGATACGAAACTTTTCTTCTTGGGCTCCAAATGAACTTGTGCTTGCCTTTTAGAAATGTTTTAATATGCTCCACTGAGTAATCAATTCAGATTTCTATAACATCTACTGAGGATCTTAATATATCTTGGCCACATTTGCTCTCAGAGTTAATACACATCTGCGCCAGTCAGAAGGTTGGGTGTGATCCTACTGACTGAACTAAAAAAAAAATAAAATAAAAAAATAAAAAAGGTAGTTTGTCCAAAACTCCTAAGGCAAACTGTGGGGATGTTTGGGATTAGAAGTACATGTCAAACACACCCAATCACCAAGTATTGAACTAAGTTCAACTTTAGTGAGAGACTCCATTCTGTCCGCTACTAAAGGTCACCATCTTAGATACTACAGTGTGCTCAGCATACATGTAATGTATTATCCTTGCTTCATTTTTCCTCCTCTGAGTTTCTAAATCTTTAGGGGACACTGTGAAGTTAAAGCAATTCACTACACCTCCTCCATTTAGCTTTCAGTGTCTAATGGTGAGTTTGTGACTAATTTTGTGTGCACAACAATGTTTACCACTCTCTGTTGACAAGCCTACTCCAAGCCTCTTCGTGCTAATTAGAGATGCAGGGATCATGAATTATCCATGGCATCTGTCCATATATACAGAATTTGAACAATTTACTTTAAGTAGATTAACTACAGAAGTCATCATCACCACTCTTTTAATTCTTTATTTCTGTGGTACTAAATGATTGATGCAGTGGGCTAGATTAATTCAAAAGGGGGGAAAAACAGCAAAGCAAATCAGAGCATGAGCACTAGCAGTAATCTGTAAAATCCCATTACATCATGTCCTAAGTGTTTCGTTGATTCCATTACATGGATCAATTCACACTAGCTCTCAATAATACTAACCAGGAGATGATTTTTTTTTGCAACCATAAAGACCAAAGGTCTAAGACAGATATTACCTCATAAATTAGATGAGAAGATTTCTTTGTTCTCTTTCAGTTCATTTTAGTTACACCCCACTTACCCAACCTCAGCATTTTTATAATTACATAGGATCAGAGATTTGGGTACCTCAAAGGTCACCTGGTCCAAGACCTTTTTTGGACAGGTGAGGAAACTGAGTATCAGAGGGGTTAAGTGCTTTAATTATAGCAATAACAGCAAACATTTAAATAATGCTTCGAAGTTTGCAAATTTTACTACCTGCTATCTCAACCAACCATCACAAGAACCTTTGGAAGGTAGGGGCTATAATTTTCCCCAGTTTACAGATGTAGAAACTGAGGCTATTAAGAAGTTAAGTGACTTGCCCAACATTACATAGCTAGTGTCTGAGGCAGAATTCCAGCTCAGTTCTCCCTCACTTCAAGACCACATCCAGCACTCTTCTCGTAGCACCATATATATAGTGGCCCCTAGGTACATTTACCCCAGACCATACCAAGAGTATACACCCAAACACTCTGACTTCAAATGTAGCACTGGTCTCAATGTGCACACTACCTTTCCTTAATCACCATATGACCCCCGTTTCTTGTTATAATTATCGTGTCTTAAAACTGGAAGGCACCATTCTAGGTAATCTAGTCTAACTTCAGGAATCTCTTGCACAATATCCCTGGCAGTGTCATCTAGAGTCAATTTGAAAATAAACAGTATAGGGGAATGTATTTTTTTGAGGGTGGTAGGAAACAGACCTGTGAAGTCATTAACATAGGGAACCTTTGGTGAGAAAATTCTTTCTAGCAATGCAGATCCATAATTGCTGTGAAATACATAGCCTTGGAGAGCTGTGAGATAAGGTATATTGCAGTGAAGGTCACTGTGAGGCTAAAAGATTTGCCTAGACTGTCTCAAATCTCAGACACTGAGCCAGTATCTCTGAGGGAGGACTTGAATTCAGGTCATCCTGTCTCCAAGGCTAGTTCTCCATATCCCATCTGCATTATGTCATGAATTAGTTCATTCTATTTTAGGGACAGCTCTTATTCTTAGAAAGGTATTAGAGTCCAAATCTGCTGTTCTATGTCTTCTACTATTGATCCTAGCTCAGGGCCATGGAAATTCACAGAATAAGTCAAAGCCTCCTTGCACAGAAAAGTCCTTCAAGTATGTAAATATAGCTATTGTTGTCTCTTTAAAACTCCTTTCCAGGCTGAATCACTAATTTCTTTAATTATTCCTCAAATAGTCTGGGTTTCAAACTTTTCTTCATTAAGAGCAAGATTAACTTCCTTTGGTCCCACTAGTGTGTGTGTTTGTGTGTGTGTGTGTGTGTGTGTGTGTATGTGTGTGTGTGTTTCCCCCTGAATCATTGCTCATATTAGTTTATTTTTTAAATAACATTTTATTTTCTTTCCAATTACACATTAAAAATAATTTTTACATTTTTTTTAAGTTTTGAGTTCTTAATTCTATCTCTCCCTTCCTGCCCTCCCTGAGATGGTAAGCAATCTGATAAAAGTTATACATGCACAATCATGTAAAACATTTCTATTTTAGTCATTTTGTACAAAGACTCACAGAGAAAGAGAGAGAGAGACAGACAGTGAGAGAGAGACAGAGTGAGACAGAGATAGAGACAGAGAAAGGAAGAAAGAAAGAAAGAAAGAAAGAAAGAAAGAAAGAAAGAAAGAAAGAAAGAAAGAAAGAAAGAAAGAAAGAAAGAGGGAAGGAAGGAAGGAAGGAAGGAAGGAAGGAAGGAAGGAAGGAAGGAAGGAAGGAAGGAAGGAAGGAAGGAAGGAAGGAAGGAAGGAAGGAAGGAAGGAAGGAAGGAAGGAAGGAAAGAAGGAAGGAGGAGAAAATAGTATGCTTCTGTCTATATTCTGACATCAATTCTTCCTCTGGAGGCAGATAGCATTTTTCATCATGAGTCCTTTGGGATTGTCTTGTATCACTGTATTACTGAGAATAACCAAGTCATTCACAGTCCTTCATAGTATAATTTTGCTGTTACTGTGTACAATGTTCTCCTGGTTCTCCCCACTTTAAAAAATACTTTAACAATGGTATTTAAATATTATCAATTTTCTTTGCTATCCTAAGTACTTTTTAAGCATTTAAAACATTTTTTTTTCTTAGAAGGGTTCCATAGGTCTTCCTTAGACTGTGTAAGTGGTCCATGACACAAATAAGGCTAAGAATTTTGACTCTAGACATTAAACTCCTACCAGTGTAACCTAGGATTGCATTCCCTATATTCACAGTCATATTAAACTACTTAGTAAAAGGACAGAGAAATGGATCAGGACAAATCTATTAACACTTGTCTATAAACATTTCAAAACATATTTTCTATTTATAGTGGGTCAAAAGTGTTATCTTTATGAACAAAGAATAGTGGCACAGTTCTCAATTATCCACATAGGTATAGAAAAAAAGTTGAGGTGAACTTATTGA